CCTTGACTTAGAGAAAATCATTTTAGAATTTATTCGCATTAAATCTTTAAAAAGGTCTTACATACTTGTGTTTTGATTAATATGATTTATAACATAATTCATCAAAAAAAATCATAGAAAGTTTAGTCACAATTTTGAATTCTGACTCAAACAACTGTGTTTGTCGTGATTCCGATCTCACACATCTCTACTCTCATTAACATATTAGCGTATATGATTCAAATCGAACAGTAATAAATTATCACAGAAATGCTAATGACCTGAGAGCATGAGTCAGAGCTAACTCTTGAAATATAGTGAGAATATTTCATATGCTATCAATAAATCCTCGACAAAAAAAAACGAATATCTGCAGCTGTTAAAAACACGAAAAGGAATTTTTTTTGTCGACTACTTGTTTAATAGACATATAATTTATGCGAGTCTAACGCGGATGGCATTTTTTGTTTGGAAAACTTTTAGAACCTTTTCTAAACTTGGATTTGAGTTGAACTTTACAATTGCTCCTAGGAATGTCACAGTGTATCGTCCTAATAGCAAACGGATGATAAAACTACGAAGATCTTGGTTTGATTTCGATTCTTTCATTCGGAGATGTATATTTGAAGAAAATAGTTGAATTCTATAAAAATAAATTTCTAATTGTTCGAGTGAATTATAAAGATAAGATCTAATGCTATGACAAACTTAAAAAATCTATGTTTTATGTTTAGAACATGCATGGCATCATTATGCGATACAATGCGTCGTCAAATATTATCGCGTGCATTTTATGGTTGGCTAGCATATTGTCGTCATTTAAAAACTGTTCGTACACATTTAATAACTCTTGTTTATCCAATACCAATAGAAATGAATGAACGAGTAGATAAACATTTATCTTTAACAATTCAATCATGGACAGAATTATTTCTTGATAAACAAAATGAAAATTTATCTATTGATAAAAAAGAGATTTATCGAAGAATTTATGCTGGTGGTTGTGATTCATCAATTCGAAAACAAGTAAAAACACAAAGTTTAAAAATTTATTTTAATTTTAATTTTATATGAATCATTTTTATTTTTGTATAGGTTTGGCCATTTCTTTTTTCACATTATTCATTTGAATCAACAAATGATGAACGAATAGAGATTGATCAAATAATAACTGATCGTTATAATAAATTAATAAATGAATGGCAAAATGCTGAAGAAACAATTATTAAACTTGATATTCAACGTTCAAATTGTTCTAAAAATTCAACAACATATCTAGAAACAAATCAAAATTCAAATGAAACAATAATATCATCAGTTAAAAATATTCTTACTAAAAATTTATCATCAAATCCTCATAGTCTACAACAAAAAGATTCAAATATATCAAATGAAGTTTTCTTTGAAGTGCATTCAATAAAAAAAACAAAATTGTTTTTGTTTTTCAAAAATTTTCTTTTTTTTTTTCAGGAATCTCCAATACATACTGTAGCTATTCCAATTCAAGAAGAAACAAATAAATCAACAATAGCATACAATCAAGCAGTACTTATTGCTCGTACACATACAGAATCTGTTATTGATCGTTCATCGCCTTATAATATTATTGAAACAGATACAGATGATGATGATGGGAATCTAAATTTTAAAACTATTGAAGATAATAATGAAACGATAATACCTGAACAAGATGATGAACAGAACGAAATAATATCATCGGCGTCAAGCGTTACATCTACAACTGATGTTTATATGGATGCTGTTGAAATTTTAAATGACGAACAACCAAGTAAAATCTCTCTCTCTCCCTCTATACATATATATATATATATATATGAATTGTATTTATTTATTTTAGATGGTTCATTAACACCGATTTATTATGGTTCATTTTCAAAAGAAACTGTCGATACATTTTCAACTAATTTACATCGAATTGATAAAGATGTGGCAAGATGTGATAGGAATTATCCATATTTTATGAATTCAAAGAATTTAAAAAAATTACGAAATATTATGTGCACGTAAGTTTTTCAAAAATTAAATATACAAAATAACGAAAAAAGTCAATTGTTGAAGTTCAATATCCTTATTTTTTCTACTTGCATAATTCAGGAAAGTAGAGTGCTGCAGAAAAATAATAGTTAAATATCGATATTTCAGGCAAATTGTAATTTGTGTTCATATCTTCTTAGATTTTTCTAGTTTCATTAGATGTCGATTGTTACTAACGAAGGAACCTCTCCAAGTATCAAATCGCTTTTTGACTGAGACGACGTTCATTTGGTGAATGCCAATAAGTAATAGAAAAATCTAGAATAGTTTGATTTGCCAAGTCTTCATTCTTGAGATATCGAAATTTTACTTGATTTTTCAACAAAAAAGGTGTAGTCATATGAAAATTCGACTTTGCATAAACCAAGTTCTCAATGAGATTAATTGATTATGTAAGTTTTAGTTTTTCTCGTATTTCATTTCTGGAGATGAATAAAATTTGCTTTTGCACATGAGAGAATTTCGAATATCTCAGGATAGGAGATACTAGAAGAGTTACAACTTACCCAATGAACTAATCTCATTGAGAATTTTATTTCATGCAAAGTCGATTCTTCACATGACTACAGTTTCTTGTTGAAAAACTCAATAAAATTTCGATATATCAAGAATGAAGGCTTGGAAAATTCAACCATTCTAGACTTTTCTATTATTCATCAAATGAAAATTATCTCGATTGAAAAATGATTTAACACCTGCAGAGGTTTTCTCATATTCGAATTGTTTTAATATTAAATATTTCCTTTAGATTTAATCTAATTTTGTTTTTTGTTATTCATAGATATATATGGGATAATTTGACAATTGGTTATATTCAAGGCATGTGTGATCTTGTTGCACCATTATTAGTTATTTTTGATGAAGGTTATTATTAATCTATTTAAATTCTAGAATTCTATACATGTTGTTATCATTTTTAGAAGTAATAACATATAGTTGTTTTTGTCATTTAATGAAACGTCTTTTACCAAATTTTCCTAATGGAACTGGTATGGATGAACATTTAGGTCATATGCGTTCATTATTACAAATTCTTGATTCTGAACTTTATGAACATATACATCATACAGGAGATTTTACACATTTTTATTTTTGTTATCGATGGTTTTTACTTGATTTAAAACGAGGTAAAATTTTCTTTTTTTGTTTTTTAGATTATAAAGTAATAAAAACAATTTATATTGATTTCTATTTATAGAATTTATTTATGAGGATATATTTCTTGTATGGGAAGTAATAGCTGCTGCACGACGAACAGTTTCAAAACGATTTGTTTTATTTATTGCATTAGCAATGATGAAATATTATCGAGATATAATCTTAGATAATCGAATGAATTTTACAGATATTATTAAATTTTTTAATGGTTTGATATTTTTTTTTTTTTATTGAATTTTTTTCCATATATATATATATATATATGTATATAGAAACGGCTGAAAAACATGATGCTCAAGAAATTTTACGCATAGCACGTGAACTTATGCTCGAATTACAAAAATTAATTGATAACAAATAAATGAATATTTATAATACAGTGAATTAAATATGTTTAATATTAAAGATAAACTTTTTGTTTTCTTGTTGTCCATATGTTGTTATTGTTTCAGTTTAGTTAGAAACTATATATATATAGTGAAATATATTTATTAATCTCTATATCTTTCTTTTGAATTGCTTTCATCGATGAATTTTTTCTCATTCAATTTTGCAATAGCCTTCATTTATTGTTGTGATTAAAAAAAGAAAACTATTTTATGTTGTTTTATTTATCGTTGTTGTTTTCAATTAAATATTATTTATTAAAAATATAATTTATTATGCATGTATAACATAAGCTTATTTAAAGAAGTCTTTCTCAGTAAGGAAATCAATTATGTTGATTTTGTACTTTATTCTTATTAGAAATTGTTGATAGTGTCCTGCAATTGGATGAAGTACGTAGCATTCCGATCCGGGTGCAAACTTACCGGGTATGAGATCGTACCCGATCTGATAATCTCAATGAGCAGAAAGACACCAAGTAAATCCTGACTTACTTGCTTTTTTTGTGGAATTTGAGATGATCTCTTTTTTTTTGTTGTTGTTTATGAATGAAACTAAACAGTATACTTTTCAATATAAAATAAAAGTTTGAAAACTGTACTGTGAAAATATGTTTCAGTTGGATCCAGCTATCCGGATCCAGTTGCAAAATGTCGTAGCAGTGGAGGACACTAATTGTTGATAAATGTCCAGATCAAATAAGCACAGTCGTAAACAACTGTTTTGTCCTTTCGTCATTTAGTGGGCGCAATATTACAATCGTAAACAGTCGAATACTGAATTTTCAGTCCGTTGTCAACTGTGTACGACATGATAAAATATGATCATAATGCTGCACTTATCAAATGTCAATTTGCAGCTATTTACGACTGCATATTGTATAAAACGATAGTACACTGTATCGGTTTTGGTCGTCTTAGTGGCTGTAATTATCATCCTGAGTCACGTCAGAAAGAAACAGACTGATGATAATCATTGAAGCTTATTGAAGACAAAAAAAATAAATCGTTGACTCTAAATAAATTATATCAAGTATTGTCGTAAAATTGTTACAGGATCTAATTAGCTGGTATTATCGTTCCAAATGAATATATGAGTTCTTGTATGAATTTTAATTCAAGATATATTATGTATTTTCATCAGAAGTTTAGTTGAACATATCAGAGTTGTAGCGAGACCGGTTGAAAGAAATTTCATAGATACACTCTGTTTCTCTGTATTGTTTTCAAACAAAGACTAAAACGAATAAGAAAACTAACATTCAGATTCGATTCATAATGTTACAGAAGAAAGATATTCTTTATTTTCGGATATATTCCCTACTACGTGTTTTTCTATGTTCTTTTCTGAGCAAGCTATTTCTCCGTTGTAGCCACTTTTTTATATTTGATCTATTCAAAACATCTTTTATTTATTTAAAACAAAAAATATAATAGAAAGTAGATTTTGTGCAATAAAAGTACTCAATATCAATGAACATGAAAACAATGATATAAACGGCGCTTGAAAGATCAAAATTTCATGTACTGAGTGCATCTATCGAAATTGGATGTGTGAAAACTCATTGCTATAAAAAAAATTGGCTAAAAAACCTTTATGGTAAAAGGACAACAGCTTGTTTCTGTAACAAGAACTTTATTTGAAAGGAATAAATTGAACAAATACCACACAGCAATGTCGAATACATTATTTTTCCGACAAAGACAAATCGTTAAAAATTAAAATATATTTTTTATTGTTAAACTGATTATATTAAAATGACTGTTATGAGGTTGTAAATAAATAGTTATCGAAAAAGTGTGGAATCTATCAAAGAATTTTTCATTTAAATTATACGTCTTCAAAAGTAACAACAAATAGACAAATTTGATTATAATTTCTAAACTGTTGTCTTTTCTTTTGTATTTGTATAAGATTATTTGCATCAATTACGAGTTTGACACAACATTATTAATTTAAGTTAATTAATGTCCATTACATTTGAAAGATCAAATCTCTCATAAAAAACAATTTTCATTAGATCGCTTTTTTTTTGGGAGCTTTATTGCGCTCAACCGTTCCTCAATAACTGTTCATATAGGATAACGAGATCTGTCGTTCGACAATAGAAGACGATAATTAGAACTTTACATTGCCTTTCTTTTTATAAGATGACATATGGTCTGTATTTTGATTATTTTTTTTCCCGGATGAGTTTATAATCCAGAGAACAAATAGAATGCAAGCATCTCCATTTAATTTAGCTTCGGGCTCTGTTTCAAAAATTATCCATCGCATTTTCTTCCGACCATTTATAATTATGTTCTGTAATATTGTATTTCCTCTTGAATATTTGAAATAATCAGAGCATAAAGAAGTGTTTCTTTTTGAAGTCATTTCTTTTAATTGACTAAACATGGCTTAATAAACTAATGGAATTCTTTAAAATCGACGAGTGACTAACCACGACGAACTTTTTCGAATGATTACAACTCTGGAATATACAAATTTAGTCTTTGAATTGTTGAAAGATTTAATTGCTTTAATGAGAATTTAGTTGCATTGGTTGATAAGAATAGATGAATAACAGATTTTTCTCTTATAATTATGATTACATTCGATGTGAAGTAATTATAAGTATAATTATGAAGTTAATCATTACTAAGAAGTAGGAGCAGATGGATGTGACACTCTCCTTCTTCTGAAATTCGTCCATACAACGCTCCTTTTTTTTCTAAACTCAACCACTTTGCGCTCTCCCCGCCTCCAGTGAGAGGGATGCTAGTGATACTCTTCTATTTCATTCATAAAGAAAATTAATTATCTTTTGTAGAACTCAGTCATTGTGTTTTATGCTTTCTTTAATTTTCTCCAAAGATTAATGCAACTGGAATTAATGATCAGTTTACTATTGATAAATGTTAAGAATTGTTAGTACATTTATTTTACAACATGTTTCTTTTTTTGAAAAGAAATGTATTCATCTGTTTTAATGACCTCTATCGGAAATAAGCACCTTCCCAATGGCTATTTGTTTAGATCCAATGAATATTTTTTAAATTTTATTTAACATCTCCTGTTAGAAAAATTTTTAAATATTCCTTCATTATTTCATTGAGATCTTCTATTGTTTATTATGTTTATTCTTAATGAGACTTTGAACTATACTCTAATATATATTAAGTGATCATTTAGTATTGAGTGGTTTATAAGTCGTTAATCACTATTTAATTGTCTATACTAAGAATCATATTCAACGAACATTAGTATATATTTGATTCAGTCTATAGAGAAATATTTTTCTCTCTTACTAAGTTATATGTCTTGGAGAAACTTTCGAAAAGGCACATACAAGGAAGCTTCTTGAGATATTCTCTTCCGATTTCAATGATTTTCCACCTATACATACTACACAATGTGTTAGTAGAAGCCTTAATAGGATTTCGGTTGTTATTGACATTGACAATTTGTATAGCAGATGTTTCCTCTCATGAAAAGTATTCTGCACTGTAATATTATATATATATATCACATGATGGAACACCTGCTATAGGAATAGTCGAGAAACTCGTCTTTTCGAATTTTATTCTAAGAACTCTTTCACTTACAGGTTTCACATACAAAGAGTTTCAAAATTTTTTGACTTTATATCTCTGAGCTACGAGCCTTTGAAAAAATTAGACGCTTTTAACAAGGTATTGTACAATACAATAATATTTTGAAATTCTTTGTGTTTGTAATCTTTCAGTGGAAGTAGTTTCAGAATAAAATTCGAAAAGATGATCTTCCAGAAAATCTGATGTCCGATAGGGATCTCTTGAAAATAGGCATAGTCAAGATTTGATAACTCGTTCAAATTTCAATAGAAACCGAAATCTGTTTAGGATTTTTTCTAGAGTACTATGAAGTATCTACAGACGAAAAATCATTAACATCTGAAAGAGACATCTGGAATGATTCTCTCATCAATCATGTTGGCATCGTAAGTTAATCATTTCCATTGAGAATGTATTTGGTATTGTCTTGTTTTTATATAAGGAGAATAAAAAAACACAGTAGATAAGTATGCTTCATTACTCTATTATGTTTTTTGATAGAAACATTCGTGCAACGAGATACTCATATTTGATTTTTTTTTGCTTCTTATCTTTGAAATCACTCATTCCTAATCAAAAAGAAATAAAGGTTGGCTTTCGTAGACATTTGTTTTGTATGTGTAGGAGTAAACATTTTTGTCTGTTGAGATTACTGATCAAAGTTCAACCATGAAATAAAGATGTGTAGGATGAGTTTTTTCTCTTCTTCATATGTGAATCCTATTCTATAGAATTTTTCTTCACTTTAACTCGCTTTCAGTAGTAAATCATATACATCCTATTTTCTATTTCCTTGTTAAAAAACGAAAAAAAAGATTGAACTATAGAGTATATTGTTTTCTAACATCTAACACTTATTAAATGTGCAAATAATACTTGTGAATATTAAGTACTACTCATGTATGATAAGACTTTATTCTAGACTAATTTAGTTGATTATTTCTGTCACTCCTTTTTTTCTTTTTTGACGTTTTGTTTTTCATCAAGCTTCAAATTACTTAATACATTTGACAATAGGGAAAGATCTTGCGTCAATAACAGTGCGTGATAATATAAAACAAAAAAAAGAAATGACAACAAATGACAAGAAATACTTCATCAAATACAATTACACAATTATTTTTCTCTTTAGATTAAAAAGAGACATGAGAAATAATCCCTATGAAATTGTATTTTATTTTCTATTAGAAACACATTAACATGGACGATATGTAAATGAATTTTATGTTTATGTTATTATTAACAAAGAAAAACGAAATGAATATGTAAGTATTTGTTTATGTAAAAATAAGTATATAAAGGTTTTTTTTGTGATTTTTTTTTTGTTTTCTTATCATTGTTTCTTTTCATCTGAAGTAGAAAGTGCCGCAGGTGTATTAATTCTTTTTTCATAAAATTGTATTGTATTATTTCCAATATCACTAACAATCATTGTATTTTGATCATTAGAAAAACATACATAATGTGGTGATTTCATTTTATCACCGTGAAAATGAATAACTGATTGTTGATTATCATTATTGTTATTATTCATTGCTAAGATTTTTGATGTATATCGATCAGCTAAAATTAATTGATTTGAACTATCACATACGATACCTAGAAGAAATATATTAAAAATTAGTATTTTTGAGTGTAAAAAATTTCGTACCTTCAGGAACACTTAAATTAAGATAAGATTGAGCATCTGTATCGATAAATCTTTGTATAGTACCATCTGTACTATAAACAATAATACAACCAGCATTATATGCACATGATTCGGGTTTAATTCGTTGCCAAGCTGTTACATAGAGTTGACTATTGGATATGGAAGTATATTGTGGATCAAGTTTTTTTGTACCTAGAAATAAGATAATTAAACTATAAGTGCTATGAAATTTAAATGATAATGACTAAAATTTCTTTGAAATTTAGTATCGGCTATGCTAATATCAAGAGCATTCTATTTTCATTAGTTGCTATTATGAATGGACCGATCAAATACTTGTCTACTTTTGAATCGTTAAAGTTTTTTTTTTGTTGCTCTTCATATTATTTCGTAATAGAATGTGACCACTGGTACTGATAGCTTTGTTGTGTCTCGTTATTATTTAGGATTTCATGCCTACAGCTGGTAGATATAATCAATTTCAACTAGTACCGATATTATTTATGAAAATCGTGAGTAGTTTTCACTTACGATTATTCTGTTTCATGTTGAAAAAGACATATGAATTGTATTATGTCACAATGTATGAGAAAGGACTCTTTTAAATACTTATAGGAGAAATATACCATCCATGCAGAAAATAAAATAATCTAAATCATGCAATCCAATAATATTTGAGTTAAATCATGTCAACTTAGAAAATATGAACCCTCCTCAGAATAAAAACGAAGACAATGATCTACAGCGTTGTGCATAACCTTTTGTTAGGGGGATAGCGTTATGATTTCAAGTTGAATACCTAATGAACTTTATACCAAATTAAACCGTGTCGAAAACGGAATTTATCAGTACTAAATAGTAAGAGTTATTAAAACCTTTTAATGTCGAACTTACGAAATTTTATGCTTGTTTTGACATAGAAAATTAAGGCGTCAGTAATTCAAATATAGAGTAAAATATTTTCTTTTGATATTTTTACATGGATCGATAGAGCTCATCGAGCTCTATAAAATTATCTCTATTAAAAGTTTTTCAACCCATTTATTTTGAGATGAAAAATTTTAAAAATCACTTGCAAAATTCTAAAAAGATGTTTAAAAAGTCGTTTTTTTTATATGGAAGAGAAACACTCGATTTTCTCAATAAAATTAGTTTTTTTTTCATTATTTTTACTAACAAAGATGCTTCAAAATATACTCTTTAGACGAAGTTTTTCACGTTACATCGGATAAGTATGTTTTGAAGCGTCTTTGTTAGTAAAAATAATGAAAAAAAAACTAATTTTATTGAGAATATCGAGTGTTTCTTTTCCATATAAAAAAAACGAGTTTTTAAACATTTTTTTAGAATTTTGCAAGTGATTTTTAAAATTTTTCATCTCAAAATAAATGGGTTGAAAAACTTTTAATATAGATAATTTTATAGAGCTCGATGAGCTCTATCGATCCATGTAAAAATATCAAAAGAAAATATTTTACTCTATATTTGAATTACTGACGCCTTAATTTTCTATGCCAAAAAATGCATAAAATTTCGTAAGTTCGACATTAAAAGGTTTTAATAACTCTTACTATTTAGTACTAATAAATTCCGTTTTCGGCACGGTTTAATTTGGTATAAAATTCATTAGGTATTCAACTTGAAATCATAGCGCTATTTCCCTAGCAAAAGGTTATGCATAACCTTGTATATCTAAATGTAATAATCATTCAATTTTACTAAGAGAGATACGTTTTTTGTTCGAAAATTATTAGTAAAAATTCATTTCTCTTGAAATAACTAAGATTGTTACAAAAGGAAAAAAAAGATGAAAAAAAAAAAAAATTTTGTTTTTGGTTCTCTACCTCTCATAATTATCCATTCGTTTTCATAACGCATTTGATGAGTAAGTACAACCATACGTGAATTATATGAATCACAAACATAAACATAATTATTATCAATAGTAATTCCCTTTGGCCATGAAAATGAAGAACGTGTACAACCTTGTTTTTTACTTCCAATAAAACTAATCATTTTTCCATGTAACCAATCATATTTTGAAATTCGATGACGATCAGTTATAATAACATAATGTTCCATAGCTAAACAAAGACCATCAGGAAAAAGAAAACCTTTTATACTATTCATAGTTTTTAAATTTAAATCATAAATAATTATACGATGTTTTTTTGTATCAGTAATTAATAATTGATTTGTATCTGTCATAGCAATTGCTTTTGGTGCAAGAAATTTATCAGCTTCATTTAAACCTATTAAAATTTGTCGTGCTTTTTTATTATAATTATCAAGATGTATTGGTGCAATAGGCATACGTGGTGTTAATGGTGTATTATCTTCAATTTGTTGTTGATCAATTTCATTTAATAATTTCATATTTATATTTGTATTTGATTTTTGTTGTTGACGATTTCGAATAAGTTTTCTTATAGCATATTCACTACCTTGTTTAATTTGATAATCATCATGTTGTGAATGATTTCTTAATGTTGAAAATTTAATTGTATTATAAGAATTATTTTCATTTTCATAATTTAGTTTTGATAATTGATTAAGATTTTGTTCAGGTGTAATCATTTGTTTTCTTGCTGATGAATGATGAAATGGAATTAAACTATGTTGATTATCGGAAGTATTAAATTTTTGTCGTTGTAAATATTCAATTTCTTGATTTATTGTTTTAAGATGAAGTTCACCAAGATATGATTGATGAATTGATGATGAATTTGTATTATAAATAAAATCAATTGATTGATCATCAAATTTTCGTTGTAAATTAGTCCAATATTGATTTAAACGTATACGATCTGATATACTACAACTTTTTGGATCTATACAATCTAATTCATATGATTCTTTTTCAATATCAAATTTAAGTTTTTGTAATTTGATATTTTTTGTTAGTAAATAGCTTTGATAGAGATCATCTAATTGATTATATAATATTTGTTCATGATCTTTAAAATAAATATTTTAAATTTAAATTTCTTTTTATTATTATTATTATTATTTTACCTTGAATTTCTTTTATTTGTTTTTCAGCATCGATTTGAATTGTTTTACGAATATTTTCTTTTGATTCAGTTAATTTTTTATCCCATTGAGATATTTTTTCATTAAGATTATCACGTATTTTTATTAATTCACTATATTCTTTTATCTGTTCATCAGCTATACTTTGTTCATGTTCATTCATACATTTAAAACAAGCTAATGAACGACAATGAAAACATCGACCATAGGCAGGCTTTTTATTACATAATTCGCATATACCTATTTGTGCAATACGATGATGTTCAGCTCGTTTTAATATTTGTAATGTAGAATTTTTTGTTAATTGTCCTATTTCTTTAACACTAGTAAACCGACGTATTTCTTTACAAATAGGACATTTAAGAATACCATCATCTGGTAGAATATTCTAAAGAAATATAGAGAGAAAAATTATCACTATATAATATAAAGCACTAACTCATAAGAGAGAGTAGGATTGAATGAAATGATGATTAACTGGTAGAATTTAGGAAACTTCAAACATTTTTTATAAACTCTAGAACATTATAATAATTCTTGTACAGAATATTAAATTTTCGTAAGTGCATTGAAAGATCTGAGTTTATTGTCGAAGACTTTGCTACATCCGAACAGGCGCTATTGGCTCTAGTACAGGGTCGGAAAGAATATTATTCAAGGGGGGTAACGATATAATCCCGAATAGGAGGTATGATAAATTTTATACCAAATGAAAGCCCGTGAAAAATGGGGTTTATTGATGTTAAATAGTAAGGGTTATGTAAACCTTTTAATATCGAACTTAAGAAACTTTCAGAAATTTTATACATTTTTGGGAGTAGAAAAGGAAAGTGCTAGTAATTCAAAAATGGAGTAAAATATTTTTCTTGGATATTTTTACATAGTTCGATAGAGCTCGTCGAGCTCTACAAAACTGTATATACTAAAAAATTTTAAACAGGATCCTTGGATTGAAATTCAATGAAAGCTGTCTAAAGAAAACACCCAAAAATCGGCATTTTGTACAGTTTTTATAGGCGAAAAAAGTGGTCTGTTTTACAATAAATTCAGTTGTTTTCCATTAGTGTCCTTATATAATATGTTTGAAAATATATTCATTCGGTGCAGTTTTTCACGCTGCATCGAATGAGTATATTTTGAAACGCCTGGGGGAGTAAAAATAACCAAAAAAGCTAATTTTATTGCAAAGTCGAGTGTTTTTCTTCAATATCAAAAATATCAGTTTTTTTGCTTTTTTTAAGATTTTCCAAATAGTTTTTTAAATTTTTTATCACAGAAAAGTAGCTTAAAAAATTGTTAGTATATACAGTTTTGTAGAGCTCGACGAGCTCTATCGAACTATGTAAAAATATCCAAGAAAAACGTTTTACTCCATTTTTGAATTACTAGCACTTTCCTTTTCTACTCCCAAAAATGTATAAAATTTCTGAAAGTTTCTTAAGTTCGATATTAAAAGGTTTACATAACCCTTACTATTTAACATCAATAAACCCCATTTTTCACGGGCTTTCATTTGGTATAAAATTTATCATACCTCCTATTCGGGATTATATCGTTACCCCCCTTGAATAATATTCTTTCCGACCCTGTACATCTAAGTACGGGCAATATCAGGACCAGGACCAATTTTGTTTATCAATCGGAAGTGGAAGTAAAAGTTTTTTCTGATTGAAATCGATACCAACTTTTTTCTCGATCGGGACTGAGGTCAAACATTTTTTCCGACTGGGACCGGGACCAAAAACAGCTGGTCCAGCTTATATCTAGGTACACCATTGTATATATTAATAGACTCTGTTGTATTCTAGAAATCCTATCTGGTACGAATAGATTTATCAGATTTTGTTTTTAAGGGATCGTAGCAGATTCTACTGTATCATATACTTTTTTTCTGACTGCAGGTATTTCTTAACGAGGATAAGGTAAATCAAGCTGAAATTTTTATCACATCTAGAACATAAGAAATGATAAAGAAAGAATGTTTTTTTTTGATAAAAAAAAACAAGGAATCACTCTAAAATAGTTTAGAAGTTTCTTAAGGCCTCCTCAAAAAAGTCACTTTTCGTCAAAATGATCGAAATTGAGATAAATTCATGGGGAAATAGTCCGTCGTCTGCTCTTTCGTAAATAAAAAAATTTTGGAAGATTTTCATCATTCCCTATTCGAAAAATAAGGTGTTTTTACAAAAAACCGAAAATCATTTTTCGTTTTTCTCAGAACATGGCTTCAACGGCGTAGCGCCAGCAGAACTCTATCATAGTAAAAGATAAAATCAAATCTTTTTTTTGTTTTACCTCTATAAAAACAGCGTCATTTTTTTATGGGTTGTTTGAGCCATGAAACTTGTCATCCCTTTTCTTCTCTTAAAAAGTAAGAATTTAACAAAAAAAAGGACTACGAGAGGCGCTAGCCATAGACACAAGTTTTCAAACAACAAAAAATTAAAATGTGTAAAATGAAGGCCCACAGAGGAATATTGAAGATACGATCGAACTATTTTTAACGCTTGTTTGGTGAATATCTCTGTCAAACATCATGATATAGGACTGAAAATTTTACCATAGTCATCATTCACCAGCTTCAACATATCCTGAACGTTTCATACAATTTCGATGTTCCTGGACTGAGATAGATTTTTGAGAGGGTCTTAAGTACGTTACAAAACATACTTGGATACAATTCAAACAGAATGTATGTCCATTTGAACAGAGTATACGTGGATCTTGAAAGTCGTTTTTACATAATGGACATTGAAATAATGAATTTGTATCAAAAATACGAGTGACTGCTTCATAATCATCGTCACTTTGTTGAAACGAAGACATTACTATGAATAATGATCGAATGTTTGTATATGTTAAAATTTAACTTAATGTTACGTACATACACATTATTCCGTTGTCAAGAATACACAGCAGGGAAGATTATTACATAGAAGAAAGGAGGTTTTTTTTTCGCTATTAAAATTTCATATAAATCAAGAGTAAACTGTGTAGAATAATTTTCTTTAGCTAAATATCTCAATTTGAATAAATTCAGCTAGTACCATGAGGATATTATAATAAATAATTGCTTAACTGAATAATAAATAAATGTTTTATGTTATGATCTTTACAATAAAACTTATAATAAAAGAAATCTGTCAAGACTTGTTTGAACCAAGAAATAAATCATATTAATTGATCCCTATTTTTTGATTCTTTATTAAATGTCAAGAAAAGAAAAGAATAATAAAAACACGTCATACAAAACAGTAATGATTATTAGAATATTTGCATTAAGATAGATTAATGCCAAGATGTTAGCATTAAATTAATATTATTTGAAGTACTAATACATCGATAACCGACTAATAAATCTTGGACACTTAAAACTCAGAAGTTACCCAAACTGAAAAATTTTGTTCTGTTGTGAGAATGACATGTTCAGGTATTAAAAAAAAGCCATTGTTCTCTTTTCGGAAATAGCACTCACGGTTATAAAACAGTCTTTGTTCTTTTTTGAGAATGGCACTCATGGTTAAAACAGCCTTTGTTCTGTTTCGGAAATGATACTTCTGTGTATAAAAATTATTTGTTCTGTTATTAAAAACTTTCGAACATGAATTCTAAGAAGTAGAGAGTC